CGCGCGCGACCAGACAGGTAGCGCACGCGCCGTCCCTGGGCCGAGGGGGGGGGGGAGGGAGGGAGGAGGAGGAGGACGGTCGTCGCCAAGAAGGGAAGGAGAGTTTGCGGGAGCCGCCGAAGCTGCTGCTGGTGCTCATCTTTCTCCGATGCGCGCCGATCCTCCGTTTTCGGGATCGTCTTGTCCAACTGGGTGAACGGGGCTGCCTTGGACGCCGCTCGCCCATAAGCGAGAAAAGCCAGCCTGGGACAGCTGCGAAAGTTGTTACGGTTTGAAGCCTCCGGTGGGAGAAATGTTTGGAGGCAGGAATTTCCGACAATTGTCCCATGATCCCAACATCGGCTGCCCTGCCAGACTTCCAAAATCAAAACAATTCGATGGACAGATTGTTACTGTACAACGTGCGAAGGAAGTCCAGCTGCCCGGTGGTGCAAACTCAGATTTATCAATGACGTTTATGCCAAAGTATACAAGTGGTTCCAAGTTTAACAATACAGTTTGAGTCTGCCAAGATAATGTGGGTGATGCTCCCAGTGCTTTATGAATTCAGGTCTCCCCCCATTTGTTTTGTATAGATCCCTTGTATTTTGTCAATATTTTGACCTCACTCTGCTAATTCACTAGGATGGGATTAGACGTGGTCGTCCAAGAGCAGACACAGTCCGAGATCTAATAAATGAGGGAGAGCACTCTTCTAGCAGGATACGCTGTAACGTTTGCAACAGAGTCTTCCCACGAGAGAAGTCTTTACAGGCCCACAAAAGAACTCACACTGGTAAGCAGAACAAGTTAACAAGGGACAACCATAAGTCTTCTGTCAATTCTTTGGATTAAAAATGGAAACATAGTTGAATGTACTATTGACTAATGAATTTGTGTGTGATGTGCTGAATTTTCCCAGTGTGGTGAACAGGGTTCAGATCCCCACTTGACCATAGCAACTCACTGGGGGAGGGGAACTGGTACCCCATTTCCCCGAAAATAAGACCTAACCTGAAAATAAGTCCTAGTATGATTTTTCAGGATGCTTGTACTATATGCCCTATCCCAAAAAAATAAGCCCTAGTTAAGTGAAACCCCACCTTCCACTGTTGTGCAGCAACCAGAAGAAGATGACATGACTGTATTTGAATAAATGTAGATTGTTGTACATGAAAAAATAAAACATCCCCTGAAAATAAGCTCTAATGTGTTTTTAGAGCAAACATTAACATAAGACCCTGTCTAATTTTTAGGGAAACACGGTAAAAGCACTTCTTAAATACAGTGGTGCCTCACTTAGCGAGCCCTCTGTTTAGCGACGAAATTGCTTTGTGACGAACTGTTTACGATCACAAATGCGATCGCTTTGCGATGTTCCCTATGGGGGAATTTTGCTTTGCGATGATCAGTTCCCTGCTTCGGGAACCGATCATCGCAAAGTGACCATTTTCACACAGCTGATCGGTGGTTTCAAAATGGCCACCAGGTAAACAAAATGGCAGCTCAGTGTTTTCTGGGACGGATTCCTCGCTTAAAAGGCACCGAAAATGGCCGCGCTATGGAGGATCTTCACTGAACGGTGAGTTTTAAGCCCCTAGGAACATATTACAGTGGTGCCTCGCTTAACGATGTTAATTGGTTCCAAAAAACATCGCTATGGGAAAACATCGTTAAGCGAAGCACCATTTCCCATAGGAATGCATTGAAAACCGGGTCATCCATTCCAATGGGAACGGATTACCGTCCTTAAGCGAAAATCCCCATAGGAAACATTGCTAAGTGAAACAATGTTTCCCCCATCGGAAAGCTATTAAAATACATTGAAGCCGACTCAATGCATTTCAATGGCTTTCCGATGTCCGTTTTCACTCATTTTTAAGTGTCTTAAAATGTTCGAAACCTATTTTAAATGCTTGGAATTGGTAATGCACCTTGTGAAACCTATGCACACTTAGTTTGGCTTTGTTCTGAGTCTTCGTTAATTTTTGGTGATTTTTTTGTTTTCCCCATTTAAATCCATTGAATGGACAGTCCAATGCTTTTCAGTGAGGGAAAAACAAAAAATCACCAAAAATTAACGAAGACTCAGAACAAAGCCAAACTAAGTGTGCATAGGTTTCACAAGGTGCATTACCAATTCCAAGCATTTAAAATAGGTTTCGAACATTTTAAGACACTTAAAAATGAGTGAAAACGGACATCGGAAAGCCATTGAAATGCATTGAGTCGGCTTCAATGTATTTTAATAGCTTTCCGATGGGGGAAACATTGTTTCACTTAGCAATGTTTCCTATGGGGATTTTCGCTTAAGGACGGTAATCCTTAAACGAAGCAATCGCTAAGCGAGGCACCACTGTAATCAGGTTTTAATGCGTTTCTATGGCCTTTTTAATATCACATAGCGACGTTTTCGTTCAGCGATTTTTGAGGAACAAATTAACGTTGCAGTGCGAGGCACCACTATATCTCACATCTTGAAACCCCTACTAGGGTCACTATAAATCAGTTCCAATTTAACAGGACAGAGCATACACATAGATACACACACACACCAAGATATGCTAGCATGATGGAGTCTGTAGCAGTACAAAAAGTGGTTGGAGATGCCATTCTTATATCAGGAGAAACAATCTTGCAAATACTTGCTTTCTTCTCTTATAACTTGTGAGCAGAAGATGCATTTAATTTGTAAGGATTGGAAAAGATTTTCCTGAGCTGCACATGCTCCAGATATGAAGCACAACTGTTACATATTACAGTGGTGCCTCGCTTGACGAGGATAATCCGCTCCAGCAAAATCGCTGTAGAACGAAATCGTCGGCAAGCAAAAGTAAAAATCCCATTGAAATGCATTGAAAACCGTTTCAGTGTGTTCCAATGGGCGAAATACCTCAGCTTCCAGCAAAGATCCTCCATAGGGCGGCCATTTTCCGGTGTCTGTAATGCGAGGAATCCATCCTAAAACACAGCAGGGAGCCATTTTGAAGACCCGACGATTACCTGTTTTGATCGTCATTAAGCGAAAAATTGGTTCCGAAGCAGGGAACCGATAGTCGTAAAGCGGTTTTTCCCTATTTAAACATTTAAATTTAAACATCATTTAAATTTAAACATTGTTTAAATAGGGAAAACTCGTTTAAAACTTCATCGTTAAGCAATTTCCTCGTCTAACAAGGTAATCATCAAGCGGGGCACCCCTCTACATGAAATGGTAATTGTGTCGTAATAAACATAGCAGCAATAGACACAACACATTTGAAAGTATAAGGCAGTATCAAGTATGCTTGCACCACATCCCTGAGCTTATTAGACACAGTGAAACTGGCATCCAAGTACACTGTTTCCCTGAAAATAAGACCTGGCCTGAAAATAAGACCTAGTATGATTTTTTTCAGGATGCTCATAATATAAGCCTGTCCCCAAAATAAGCCCCAATTAAGTAAAATCCCGCCCTCCACCATTGTGCAGCAACCAGAAGATGACATGACTGTGTCTGAATATATGTAGATGTACATGAAAAAATTAAAACATCTCCTGAAAATAAGCCCTAATGCATTCTTTACAGCAAAAATTATTATAAGAACCTGTCTTATTTTCAGGGAAAAACGTTAGCATAGGACTGATCACTCACTTCAAGAGTTTAAGCTTTGCATTTTCTCTTAAACATCTGTTATACCCAAGGGGGAGGTTTTATGAATTGTGGTCTTTTATAGATAACTTGGCAGATAAAAACCAACAAGTCAGTTTGAATTGTTTGTCGTTTCCTTTGAAGTGTTAGCTGCTTATACATTCTGTTGAGCATACATTCTAAACACAATTCCAAAAATGCATTTTAAAACTTGGTTTTTTCCCCCCTATTGAACCTAATGCCTTCACTCTATATCATACTCTGAATCATGGCCATTCTGTTGCCTAAGGTTTATATCAGATTTTATTTTTTGTAGCTTTTCTTCATCCACTTTGATTTCATCACCTCTTCAAAGTAACAACACATTTTCTTAACAATTATAATCTTATAACTTTGGCAAGATAGTTCCGTTTCTGAAAAATGTTCAAAGCTTTAATATTTATAAAGCATCCCTGTAAAATCTCAAGTGCTACACATGAGTGTTCAATTTCCCCCCAGGTGAAAGGCCTTATTTGTGTGACTATCCAGAGTGTGGAAAAGCCTTTGTTCAGAGTGGGCAACTTAAGACACACCAGCGTCTACATACAGGAGAAAAACCTTTTGTCTGTGCAGAAAATGGTGAGCTTTGATGCTCTTTGTTCAAATAAATTGCTTTGGATTACAACCACAAGAGTTACTAGTTTTCAAGTATTTATTTATTAGCCTGCTAAGAGGCTGGTACAATATTCTGTGTTGCTGCTCTGTTTTCTTGTGGTTAACACAGAAACAGGATATACTGTAGTCTTAACTAAGGCTGCAGCTACATGGTCAAGTGCCATGGGATTTGTTCCACTTATTAAATGGGTGAATTCAAAGTAGTTTTTACAGACCATATAATGCAAAGGCTGATTTAAATCAGCCCAGCCCTTTTTGCTTCTAAAGTAGTTTTTTTCCTCTACCCCTGGCAGGGTTCTACTTTTTGGAGCCAGCACTCTTTCCTCTCTTTTGATAGTTCTCCATTTTTTTTTTAAAAAAATTACTTTTTGTACATACAGTGTTGCCTCTCAAGACTATTTTAATTCGTTCCATGAAAATCGCTGTCTTGCGAAACCCAGTTCCCCATTGGAATGCATTGAAATATATTTAATGTGTTCCAATTGAGAGAAAAATCACTGTCTTGCTAAAATTGTCCATAGAAGACATCGTCTTGCAAAACAGTTCCCCATACCATATTGAGAAAAAACAATCCCCTCATCTGCACTGCCATTGGAAATTCAATGGGTCTCAGATGGCCTCCCCCCTCTTTCTCTTTTCTGCATCAAAGAAAGAGGATGAAAGAAGTCAAAGCAGTTCCCTGGCTCTTGATAATGGTGACTCCTTTTGCCCTGATCCTTTGCCATTGGGGAGAAAAAGAGGAAAATGCAATACAAGACATCACCAGGACTTGCTACCTTTGCAATAGGTCCTGATGAGGAGAAAGAGAGATGAAAAGGAATCTAGAAAAACCAGGGAAATCACAAGTGCAATGTCCCATTAACACAAATTATGTAGTTGAGTTCCCCACATTTGGGAAAATCACAGGGATCAGCAGCCTATCAGAAGTGCAATGGATGAGCCTCCCCCTGGGAAAACCACTTTTATGACATGGTATTTCCCCTGCAAGGTATGAGTTGGAATGGCCCTTGCACCTCAAACTCTTGGCCTCTGGCAGGACTGGGGCTGTGCAGCCCTGTACTGAGTGGGAGGTGCAGCCAGGGGGTCACCATGCCTTTTGGGGTCAGGGGACAGAAGGGGATTTATATATACCATGTCATAAAAGTGGTTTTCCCAGGGGGAGGCTCATCCATTGCACTTTGGGTGTGCTGCTGATCCCTGTGATTTCCCCAAATGTGGGGAACTCAACTGCATAATTTGTGTTAATGGGAGATTACATTTGTGATTTCCCTGGTTTTTTGATAATCTCTTTACCCTTTGGTTCCTGGATGTTTTCACCATCCTCTATCATTTAAATTTGTAGCCATAGCCCCATTGGTGATGCTTTGCAAGATGGTTCCCCCATTGAAACACATTAATTACATAAGACCTACTTTTTTATCCCAAAAAAGTGGGGGGGGGCGGAAGTGTATGCTGCTGTTTTTTCAGGAGGCAGACTCTGAAAAGCCAGCAGCATACCATTTTTTGGGGGGGATAAAAAAGTAAAAAAGTAGGTCTTATGTAATGTGTTTCGGGGGGGGGTACCGTCTTGCAAAACAGGGTAAAAATGTCTTGCAAGGCATGGACCCAAACATCCAGTGAAAATTGCCCATAGGAACAATCGTTTTGCGAAGCACAACATTGCTCAAAAAAGTCATCGTCTAGTGAATTCCTTATTTTGCGAGGCAATCATCTAGCAAGGCGCCACTGTATATGAGATTAGCGTGAGATCACCTTACTGTTGAGTCCTTATTATTATTTCCCATATTTGCACCCCATGAAAGAATCAGCAGGGGCAGGACCAGAGAAAGAAAGGAAAGAAGTGGGAGCTGTGGTGTGGAGTGCAAATCACATCTAGTATGAATGGGAAACTTCCAAATCAATCCACAGCCCCTTTGTGAGCACTGACTGCAATTTCAAACAGAATACAGGCTGCAAATCAAATAGTAGTTTATCCACTGGACACATTTTCCAGTTTAGTCGCACCTAAGATGCTCTTAGAAGGTTCATGAGAACAATCCTCAATAATGAGCAATACATGATAGTATGAAGATAAGGCTGAAAATAAATTTTCTAGTGTTGGAGAAATCTAGAGCAGAACTTTTGACGATGACAAGGAGGCACTTTGAGGACTCATTAGAATTGGGATAGAATACATAAATAAAGTGGAATAAACTTAAGGAAGATGTTCTGTTGATTAGAGATGGTGCTTGTCATTTTAGAATGAGAGTAGTTGGGTGCAATCCCTTGTCATGCCTGGAAACTTACTGGTCAGGGGTATGTTCAGAGGATAAGCTTTAGTTCAACAACAAGCAAAATATACTCGTAGCACTCTGATTTATGGAGTCAATCATAGTATTTGAAATACACACTCAGGTTTCTCATGGCTAATCTTATCATAAAGTCCTCAGTTTGGGTGTCCGCTTTTTGACGTGCGATTTGTGACAAGCATGGGTGTGGAGCCTGAAGTTTAAAAGGAAACAATGACAATGGGAAGAACTTGGTGACCTGCAAAATTGTGGCTTTAGGGAAATAGGCCATACACCTTATGGCCAAGAGACTTTCTGCGTGTGGCAGTACATACAAGAAAAAATGTAGGGACTAGGTGCAGAAGTCAGAAGGAGTTGGTCAGGAGTAGAGATAAGCATGAACTGCTGAAGTGTTTTGGCTAATGTAGTTCTACCAGCACACTGAGCTCAGTTCCAATTGGTCAGGAGTGAACCTGACCAATAGGCATGAACTGGTGAAGTGTTTTGGCTGATGCAGTTCTACCAGCACACTGAGCTCAGTTCCAAAGCTCTTGAACAGAGGTGGACACACAGCCCTGCCTCCTCCAGCAGGTGCCCACTCAGGCTGCGCTCTGGCTTCCCTGCTCTGCCTTCTCGGGCGCTGCCTCTGAGTCGGTGCCTGCCAGAGGAGGTGGGGCTGGGAAGTGCTGAACACCTGTTCGTCCAAAGGAGGAACTGGCTCAGCAGTTTGTGCTCAACTCTAATCAAGAGCCTTGGAATTGAGCTGAGTGTGTTGATAAAAACACACTAGCTAAAACTTTGGCTGTCGGGCTCAACAATCTTTATGCGACTAAAATCAGTATATGTTCTCTATTACATATTCTGGAAAAAAGCATAATTACCTTTTATCCACAGGGAAGCCCATATAATATGTTTATTCACTGGTTTCCTACTTCTTTTTAATAAGGATGTGTCAGCAGATTTACACATGCAAATCGCCATTGTTCCAAGCATCCCTATGCAAAGCTGAGACGAGAAGAGCCTACAGATGGACTAAATAAAACACAAACTGCAGACAACAAAGCTGTTGCTGAATGGTTGACAAAGTAAGTTATACAGGCTGTTCCTTTTTCATGCCATTTGGTAAAATAAGCACACTTTTGTCTGAACCATTTTTGAGTAAGCATTTTATCCCATAGTGATGATGACATTAAAAGGGTCTTCCCGCTTGTGGTGGTTGGGGGATGCTCAAGTGCCCACTGCCTGATCTGGGGCTTTTTCAAAAGCAAAACAAGCCAATTGTGTGCCCCCCAGAAGCTTCTGAGAGTGCAACAAACTTTTTTATGGATAGTTTTTGGGGATAGAGGATCAAAATGGTGAATGTTGGGTTTATTTGGCGTCCATTGGCATAATGCCACCCCCATGGAAGTTGCCTACTTCTGTCCTAAATCTTCCCATACTTAATTACATAAAAACAATTACGTGACCAAATGTTTCAGTGATAATTTTGAATCTTAAGCTTTATTTTTATTAATAGGTATTGGGAAATGAGAGAACAGCGGACTCCTACATTGAAAAGTAAAGCTACTCATAAGCCTGATCAGGAGCAGCAAGATCCAATGGAATATCTTCAGTCTGAAGATGATGAGGATGAGGAAAAGTTTGCTGCCCATTTAACCCCCTATAGCCGCCTTCAAGAACAGCGTGAACGCTTGCACGGGGCACTGGCACTCATTGAGCTGGCAAACTTATCTGGAGCCCCACTGCGGCAGTAGTCATAGAAAATTGGACCTGCTGATAATGAAAATGTACTGCATTTTGGTACTTAAACCAGTTAGCTTCTGGGCATAAGCTAAGCACCTTATTTGCTTCTATAGGCTGCTATAAAGTAGATCTTATGAAGAATGTTGTTACCTCAGAAAATGGGGTGAGAGAATTGCACTTTTTTGTATGGAAAAAGAAATGTAAAGCTTTTAAAGTATTTTGTAAATAGGGGATTGTAATGCAGAGTGAGAAATGTTCATATATTAGAAAGATAGATTTGCAAGGTTAGGACTGTGCTTTTAATCACAGGTACATGGAAGTAACTCACTGTAATCAGTCAGAGGTATCTCTGTGTAAAAGTGTTTAAAATTAGCATGCCAGTCATTCTTTGAATCAGTTCTCACAGGAAGCACTTTCTGAACTCATTAGTTGGAATGATGGTACACGTGTTCAAAGAAAAGTTGGATTAACTAGTGATGCATCCGTGCTTTTCAAACATCAATATTTTTTTCTAGTAACATTGACAGATGCTAGAATACCTGTCTTAACCTTGTAGCAGTATAGAGAAGTTGGGTTATGTTTTGGTTCAGGATCTTCACTGTGACTGCTGACACAGAGACTGACTTTGCTTTTGTGGTCTGAGATCTCAGCAGTCTCTTGTTTGAGTAGCACTTGTTGTTCTTAATAGAATATTGGGAACGTTTGCACATTGTTGGACTTGCCGATAGCTGAGTGATTAGTCTTGCAAAATTTAGGCACCATATTAACAACACATAAGGTATGGATTTCTTTTAGATTTCTTAGACCCTGTAACTATGGCATTTACTTTTTGCTCATAGAGATATTTACAGGACCATTTTGTTTTCTGATAAAGTATATTACAAGATTCATTTAGCAAACACTAAAGCATTGCTTCAGAAGTTTTTCTTGCAGATAGATTTTTTTTATGTAACACCATATTGCTTTATTTGAAACATACATGCCAAGGTTGTGTTCACTAACTATAGCTCAGTCATTGATAAAATGGCAAAATATTTGCTGTGTAATTAGGAAAATATACTTCCAGCAGTAGTTGCAAGTGTGAGATTTAGGAATTAGCATTCTTTCCCTGAATGAGGTTAGAGAATAGCACTTAGTCTTCTTGAGCACTGAAAATACAAATTTAGCAAGACACCATGTTGTTCTTAATAGTTTTAAGTATTTTATCATGTGCCATGCATGTGCCGTGATAACTGTCTGAGCAAAATGACTAGACAGTAATATGATTTCATAAAGTAAAGGCTACTGATTGAAAGCATATGAACAATCTCCATTCAGTAGGGCTCTCAACTCTTTGAGAGGAGGGTTGGACACGGCAGCTCTTGCAGATGGAATATCTAAATTTACACCTATGCCTATAGCATCAGCTTCCTTTTGGTATACCTTTCTAATTATGTATTAATGTTGGCAAACAAGTAGAAAGCAGTTACAAATTTGAATCGGAATTGTCACATTTCGGCTTGTTAACCTCAAATGTTTATTAGCACCTGTCTCCTTAATGTGCTTCAACTTGGGCCTTTTCACTACATAAAAATCTATTTGAAATCCTAAGAAAATAAACTTAAGAACTCTCAAGTAACAGCTTCTGTGCTTTCTGTAACAGCAGTATGGAAAGACATTTGCACTTCCTGGAATCCAGTTGATAAACCCTAGTAGAAACGAATTTTGGAGCATATCACCTAGTTATGAGAACAAGGTCTAACTTGTTGATGCACACAAATTCCCTCCCTTGTTCAGTGTATTATTTACCTGAATACATAATATGTATTAAATACATAAATATTTAATCAAAATATCTTCTGCCTAGCTGTAGGCAAGTCAAGCTGCTTTACCAATTATGTATAAAATACATCTTTGGAATAACTCTGACCATTTGCGGAAAATATTTTGTTTTTAAACATGGTAGTTCAAGAATTCTCTGCTTCATTGATTAAGCTGTACTTTTGGCATGAGTTAAAATGCTGTAATTCTAATAAGCTTGAAATAAAAAGTTGCCTGAATTTTAGCTTTGTGATGCTTTGTATGTACACTTTAGCCTAGACACTCCATCAGCCTCATTCAAACCCTTGCGGATGTTCTGATAGTGGTTCCTTGTCCAACTGTTCTGTTTTGGGAATGGTTAGGCAAATGTGTTGCGTGAAAGTATCTGTACATTGGACTTGAGTTAGTTTGTATTTCTTTATGGACTTTCTCAGTGGCCAAACTGTTCTAGTGTTAGAGGGATTTTAGTTTAGTTTAGTTTTGGTTAGAGTACAAAATTTATGTTGGGGAGGGGCAAGCAAAAATTGTTTAGTATCCCTGTGTTTTGAAAACAGATGTAAATAGTAAAATTCCACATGGAATAATAGCTAAAAATAATAGTACTTTAACCATGAGCTGTCAGTCTAGCAGGCACATTAAAAGAATGGTCATGCATATGTTTTTGAATGCATAAATGAACTTCCTGGAAAAAGGACCAGAAGAAGCTTTCCAAAAGAGTGGTCTGATGATGCCTTCATGTTACTGCCAATCACATTACTGGGTTACAAAGACTTGTCCCAGGGCTGCATGAAAATTATTATTATCTATAATTTTATGCTTTTAAGAATTTTATCCCAGCACTTCCCTACTGCGAATGTTAAAGCAGTGTCCTTATTCCCAGTCCTGTATTTGTACAAAACGTCAAAACAGTCCAATCATTCTGCTTAATAAGAACCTGAACTACAGAACGGATGAAACTTTAAATTCCCTAGTACTGCACACCACCAATATGGGAAACCTCAAAATCATTTTGAAAATACAGAACAAAATTATTTTTGTTAAATGCATATTAATTTGTGATCTATTTATGGAACGACTCAAAGATTAGCTTATCTTCACTTTAAAGATATCATTACATTATGCAAACATCAATTGCTCTTTATATAGGCCCCATCTGATGGTATTGTAGGACTTAATGCTGGAATTTGAAGCCAGGGGGCTAAGATTATTTTCATTGCCTTTCCAAGTTTGTGAATCTGACATCAGAAAGATCTAGTTCTTGGACTGTCACAGCCAATTCAGACCCCATCAGCATACATTTGATGGTAGGATTTTGTGCTTGCACCATTTAAGGTCATCTGTGATCCTTTTGCTTACTCACTTGAGTTGATATTTCTACAGAGTGTCTACTGGGCCAGGTTGCTGGCAAAAGTATTTCTTCTGCTTTCTGTGGATCATAGTGGAAAGGAAACAGAGGCCCAACATAATCTTCCGAGGGGAAAACATGAAGGGAAGGTAGGAGCAACTGACATTAAAAAGAATAGTAGCTGTAGGTCAAAGATGCTCCCAGGACTGAGAAGAACAAGGATTCTTATGATGCCTTAATGACTAGCAAGTTTATTATTTAAAATATTTTTACCCTGCCTTCACCTTAAAATGGGCAAGCTTTGGTGGATTTTAATCCATCTCTTCAAATGTATCTGATTAAGTAGACTTAGGCTTTTCAGGACTGGAAAACTTCCAGTGCGATAGTGATACAAGTCTGCTGCAGCAAAAGTAACAAGGCATCCTCTGGCACCTTAAAGCTGTTACAGGCCACCAAGTTACTTCTCAATTATGACCCCTCCGTCACCCTGTCATGACCTCCAAGAGGTCCTATTGTTAACAGTCCTGTTCAGGCCTTGCAAACTAAAAGCTATGGTTCTTCGTAGTGCTCTCTGTGAATGCACACATGGGTTTATCCTGCGCCTGCGCAGGACGCTCAGAAGATTCTAGAGCTTAGAAAAAAAGAAACAATCCTCCCCCCCAATGTTATATAGGCTTCAGCTCCTCCAGTTCCTCCTTTCAGTTCCTCTTTTTCCGCTGTACTGTTAGGACGTTCGGAGTAGTCAGAGCAAACTTCAGGAAAGTTTTGGCCCTTTGGGCTCTATTTCCAATTTTATTCTTGCTTCATGATTTCTTTTATTGTTAGGTGCTAGAAGGGGGGTAGTTCCTTTTTTTCCCCCTATCCTTGCGCACCTTCCTGCCTTCTCCCCCTGCTCCGCAACGGATTTTCCCCACCATTTTTCAGTCTTTATTTTTCCTTTTTCTTTTATGGCCCCTTGGGGATTCAAACAGTGCACTGCTTGTTTGAGAAAAAGACCTCTTACAGCTGGGGCACGATCCGATCCGTGTTTGTTCTGCCTGGGGGAATCCCACCGCACCCAGTCGTGCACCGCATGCAGGAGTCTTTCCAAACAGGCTATTAAACTGTGGCTGCAGAGGCTGCGTTCCTTCCTTTACGCAGACTCACTATGGAAGCCGCTGCTCTCTCTCTCTCTCTCTCTCTCTTTTGGATATTGTATTCATTGACTCTTTTAGTATTGTATATTAATTGTTACTAATGTAAATCTTTTAATTATTGTAAACCACCTTGGGTCCTTTTTTAAAAAAAGAAAGGCAGTTTATGAATGAATGGGCCAAGACACCTAAACTCATTACATGCCTCTGAAGGAGCGGGCTGCAGTCCCAGAAAGCTTATGCCAAACAAAACTCATTAGTCTTTGATATGCCACAAAAACACTAGTTGGGTTTGCTGCAACAAAAAATCACATGGCTGTTGTTAATGTGCTATCATGTTGCCTCCAACTTTTGCCAACTTTATGAATATGAGGTTGCCAAAATGTCCTGCCTAGCTCTTGCAAGCGGAAGCCTGTGGCTTCCCTTAGGGCTGACCTGGGCAAAGTGTGGCCTGAGGGCCACATACGGCCCGCGAGCCGCTCCTGTCCGGCGGGCGGACAGTTTTGAACCTCAAAACCATTTATAGCTTTTTGTCTAAAGTTGATCAGTTGCTTATCTTTAACATACCGCAAAAAAAACCTCTTCAGCATTTAACAATTTAAAATAACAATTTTAACAATTTTAAATAAAAAAACAATCATAACATCACTGTTTCATTTTATTTTAAAGTAAAGTTGGTTCGGCCCCTGAACACAGTTCAGATTTTTCATGTGGCCCCCTATAGAAATTAATTGCCCGCCCCTGCCTTAGGGAGTCAATCCATCTCAGACAATATTTATCTGGAGAACGGTTGCCTATAAATAAAACATAAATTAATTTTATTTTTCTCCTGTTGCCTTCAACCTTTCCTAGCAGTAGTGTTTATTTCCAGAGAAACTTGCCTTCCGATGACTTCATTCCAACCAACAGAAAAAATGGCTTGGTGGAAGAAGTGGCGGGAAGGGGATTTCTGGGGGAAACGGACTACCTCACGCCGGAGTTCCTGATTTCAATGAGAGCAGAGTGCGGCCCCACCGGCACACTGGATTTCAGGAAAGCCCAGTCCTGAAAAGCCTGAAGTGTACCTATCGGGCACCTGGCTCGATGGTAGCCTAAATCTCCCTGCGGTCTACCTCCCACCTCCGCGGCTTCCGACTGTTCCCCCTTGTCGCCCAACCACTTCGGGATGCAACGAAGGAGACGATGGATGCCTTCCAGGCCGGTTCCATCGAAGACACGAAGCCAACGCTAGGGGGCGCCCTAACTCAGCCCTGGCCGGTGCCGGTCGGGGCCCCGGAGGGAGCGCGTGGGTGGCAGTTTGCAGGACTCGCTTCCTCCGGCGCGGGAAAGGCCGCTCGCCGCCGGGGACGGAGAGGATGCCCTGTCGGCCGCCGGCGGGCAGCCTGGGGTTCGGGACGCGTACCGAGCGATGAGAGCCGGGGCCGCGGAAGAGGCGACGGCAGCTCCTGCCGCCTCCCCTTCCCGGCTGGCCAAGCTGCTTTCCGCCCTCTTTTACGGGACCTGCTCTTTCTTGATCGTCCTGGTCAACAAGGCGGTGCTGACCGCTTACAGGTGAGAGACGACGAGGAGCAGCTTGGATGGCCGGCGGCCCGATCCACCACTACCCCCCACCCCATACACGTGGAGATTACTTTTCCCCACCCCACACTGTGCCCGGGAGACGGTGCTGCTGCTTGCTCCGTTCGGGGAACAAGAACCATCGCTTGGAGGCAGACACACGACACACACACAAAAAGGAACGCATCCCCTAACAGAAACTACTTCCCCCCCCCAGACTCTTCCGTGTTAGCACCATCATCGCTGCTGCCTCCTAGTTGCCCCCTCCCCTCCCTCTTTGGTTTCTTAAGGCGGGAACATTTCCTCTCGGTTTCGTTTGTGAACGCTCCCCGACACGAATAAGGAGGTTCCGGAAGAGGTCTTTCCGAACTGACGCTTGTGGTGTTGAACCCTTTGTCACCATCCTCCGTGGCCGCAGCAGGAACAGGTGTGGCAAAATGTAGTCGTGCCAAAGGTTTCCTGCCGAAGGATTTACTCGGGGGGGGGGGAAGGGATGAGGAGTGCGGAAAGGCATTTGGTGATTCTTAATACATATGCAGCCAAAGTGAATAGCATTTATGATTCACGGAACTTTACCATTAAGGCTGTTTAATTTTTGATGGGATTGATCAACCAATTCAAAGTTATCCTATTCCCTATCATACACGAAAGCACCTTGCAATGGGTCCTTTTAAAGAGAAAAGTGGGGTGTAGCTATTTTAAATAATTATTTTTAAAGTCCCTTTAATTTTAAAGGACAGTGTGATTTACGGTTGGTTCCACACAAGGGTCAGCAACTCGGAGCCTGGACTGCAGGTCCCATCGGGCCCCAGCCAGCAGATGCACCAGTAAACGATGCTGGGAATGGCTGTCCAACGATAGTTGGAGAGCCTGCTGGATAGCTCTGTGGATTGGAGCACCTGCCTGCACAGCTAGGGGTTGGAGAGTTCAATCTCCCAGTGGCCCTTCCGGGAGAAAATCTAGTCCAGTGGTTCTTAACCTTTGTGTTGGTTCCACACAAGGGTCAGCAACTCGGAGCCTGGACTGCAGGTCCCATCGGGCCCCAGCCAGCAGATGCACCAGTAAACGATGCTGGGAATGGCTGTCCAACGATAGTTGGAGAGCCTGCTGGATAGCTCTGTGGATTGGAGCACCTGCCTGCACAGCTAGGGGTTGGAGAGTTCAATCTCCCAGTGGCCCTTCCAGGAGAAAATCTAGTCTGTGCCGCCTTGGGTGAGTTGAACAGTCCTAGGTTGCCACTAGAAGGAGAGATTGTAAACCACTTCGGAATATTTTATGCCCAGAAATCACTGGAGGAGGGAGGACACTGTAAGTTGGAATCAACTTGACAGCCTATAATATTGTGAGAGCCCGTATCATGTGAATACAGTCTCACACTAGGACTCCGAAGCCCTGGGTTTAAATGTAATGTAAACTTACCAGGGATGACAATGACACATTACTCCTTGACCCTTTAGTGACAAAAGTAAAAAAAAAAAAACCAGCTTGATGGCACATTAACAATGCCAGTGGAGGACCACTAACTGCTCACCTACCTCTGCTTTAAGAGCAAGTAGAAATACTTAGTGTCCTTTGATTCCCCACTTTGCCTCTTTGAAAAGGGCTGTGCTCAGTGAGCCATAGGTCCCCTTCCAGCTCTACAGTTCTAAGCTGATGATGATTAATATTAATATCAATATTGACAGGTTTTGGCCTGAAGAACTTTGAGAACTTTGAGGAAGAAAAAATGCTTTAGTGCTGTTTCATGATATTTGACTTAAAAACTAATAGAATGTGTAGTGTGCTATCAGAAAAGTTGCATTAACAGTGTAAGAGATTGCCTGTTCAAGATGTAGTGCATACACCGGAGTGCAGAGTTAAAGAGAACAAACATGGGCGAAGACTTCTACAGGCAGCAACATTCTGGAATGTGGAATTACTGTTCTTATGAAACACTGTTCCAGGAAATGGTTGGCAGCCTGTCACTCAGTCTGCTGTGCCACACTGACTCCTTGGTCTTTGCGCACGCACACTCCCACACCACTAGGTAAACTAGATGGTAAGAATCTGCAGTTGGAAGTAACAGCTTACAAGTAACAATGCTATGTAGAGCACATTACAGTAGTCCTTCTGTGACCTTAAGATGCTCTCTACTAAAGGAAGAAAACTTTGTGTGCAGCCCATAGTTCTGCAGAATGTGTGGCCACAATATGTATTAAGCAGGCTGGAACATTTTTCTGCTGGAGGTACAGGACAAAATGGCACCCTTTCTTACTGCATACAGAACAAAGTTGACCCTTACTTCACCACTGTCAGTAGGAAAAGGGGGTACTCAGAGATCTCTTCTCTACCAAACATACAGACCAAAGTTGACCCTTACTTCACCACTGTCGGGGGTACTCAGAGATCTCTTCTCTACCAAAGGTAAAGGGCAAGGTGACTCATGAGAAATGTTTCATGGGGTGTGTGCATTTGTGTGTGCTGCTACTGCTCCTCTTCTCAGCATCTGCCTCCTGAAATTATTGCTTCATTCTGCCTAATAATAGAGCTGGCTTTGCTCTTTCCTCCCATGTTGCTTCTTTGGCCTCCCTTTATGACAGGTTTGTCATGACTCTCACCTGGTCTTCTGTCCACAGTCAGGTTTGTGGCATTTGCAGCTACAAACAGGAACCCAGGACAACCTTGGGGCTTTGAAGCACAGGCATCAGAAGAGAAAGATTGAACTCCAACATTTGAACAGAACAAGAGCCAAAATTAGTAAAGAATTCAGAGAGGTGGACAACAAATGGCACTTTAAGAGGTAGAATGGAAGGGCAACAGCAAAGGGTTATGCAAAATTTATTTGTGGAATACATGGAAGGAAAGAAGATCTTCTATGCGTTTGCAATCATAGGCCCACCAACATGACAATAAATTGCAATGGAGCATCAACAAAAGTAAGAGAAAATATGGAGGGATAGAGTAAGGCAGAACAAAGATCAGATATTAGGAACTAAGAATCCCTAAGTCTTTAAAGCTGGGGTCCAGAAACTAAATAAAGGCAAACAGAAATCCTTGACACTGGGATTCTAACTTTTGGAAGGGTTGGAAAAGAGCTGTACAGTGGTGCCTCGCTTAGCGATGTTCATCCGTGCAGCAAAAATCGCTGCTAAGCGATTTCATCGCTAAGCAATATTAAAAAGCCCATAGAAATGCATTAAAAGCCATTAATGTGTTCCTATGTGTTTAAAAACTAACCTTAAGTGAAAATCCTCCATTTTCGGTGCCTCTAAAGCGAGGCAACACAGCGGGTGGCCATTTTGGAACCGCCGATCAGCTGGCTGAAAATGGGGGCTTTGCGATGATCGCTTCCCTGTGATCATCGCACAGCGAATTTTCCCCATAGGGACCATCGCTAAGCAATCGCAAAAACATTGCAAAGCGATTTCTTCGTTAAACGGAGCGATCACTATGTGAGGCATCTGTTCCTTTGTGCAGTTTCATTTGAAATCTACTATTTTGATACTGATAGGGCTGGGCATGACTGATCATTAAATGGTCTGCTCCAGTGGAAGTTGAATCAGTTGTATATGATTCTTGTGAACTGAAATAATCTGTGAAATTGTCTTAATTCTCTAAAAGGAAACCTTCAGCCCACTTAGAAACATGCAGTTCCAAACAGTCCATCAGAGTTAAGTAGATTTTTGCCCGTTGCCTCAATATTGAGCAATTCTTGTTATGTATAATATTTCATATTTGTTTGGTAAAAGAACAAAGTCTTGTTTCATTGGAACAAGGCCTTCATCATCTTTCAAATGTATTTGTAGATCTTGATTATGTGTAAGACATCAAAGTAATCTGTATTGTCAACTGTTACTGTCTTTCTTATTGTAGTGAAAATGTTGTTCTGAAAACTTTATGACTTTCACATTTGCACCCTGGTTTATTCCAGATTAGTTTATACTTTCCTTATTTTCAAAGCTGTAATTTGATTTCTTTGTGCAAATAAATCTTATTTTTCCTTAAAACCACTTCAGAAATACTTTTTAAAACCTGGAAACTCTGAATAAGTAACCTAAAGGCTTCTGCCTTTTGTTTTGTTTTACCCATCTTTTGGAAAATGTAATTTCTTTCTGAAATGAAACATTGTTGATGTACAGTATAATCTTGTGGTTTCAAAGTATAAGTTTGTGCACATATGATACAACTTCTGTTTCATCTCTCTAGATTCCCATCTCCAGTGTTTCTTGGAATTGGACAGGTATGTTGAAAGTTAAAAGGGGCTTAACCATGAGGTAAAGTATTCAATTCACAAATATGGGATATGCCAGTTAATGAGTTGGGACTCTGTCTAAAAATGAAGGACACAGTGTTGATAGTTCACCTTTTTAACGCCATCTGGTTGTCTATACTCATTTCAACGACTTATTCAGGATATAGTTAAACAGTGAGATTTGCTTCTAAAAGATGCAGCAATGACTGCCGGCTTTCATGGTTTTAAATGATGATTGGAGAGATTATGGAAAACAGAGTTATTAGTTGTTATTAGGCATGACAGATACATATTACCTTGAGGACCAGAGGCAGTATGTCATTGTCAGTTGCTGGAGAGCATTAATAGAGGGCTGTTGCACTTGTGTCCTGCTAGCAGACTTCCCATGGACATTTAATTAGCCATTGTATGAACAAAACATTGGAGTAGGTAGACCTTTGGTCTGATCCAGCATTGCTTTTCCTCTTTTTCAAGATGTGCTGTAGTCAAGAGGTAGGAATGACTCTTGTGGAAGAATAGCAGAAGTGTAGATGTTTAAGGACTGCCTCTACGGATGACATCTGTAAACTGGGCTGCTCATTAGTGTAATTAAAAAGGTTAACTACTCTTGTCATGCACCAGTACAGCTCTTTAGCAGATCAAAAGTGGAAGAGAAAGGTGTCTGGTTAATATATCTTTAAGCAAAAATTGGAAAAAGTACATTTATGGACATTTTGGCATGCTTCCTGGGATATTCTGGGAGTTACAATCGAAGAAAGTTTCAGAAAGATATCCAGATTAGATTGTTCCAGCAAAAAAAAAAAAAAAAAAAAAACAAAACAAAAAACAAAATCAAAAACAAATTATATTTTACTCTCTAAGATTAACAGTTCGTTTCAGTGTGAGCCTCCATGGATGACAGTCCTACATTTTAAAAAATGGATTGTAATCCTTAAAGCTCTCTTCAAATATTGAACAGGTTGTCATATAGAGGAGGAAAAGGATCTGTTCTCAATCATTCCAGAGTGCAGGATATGTAATAATGGGTTCAGGTTACAAGAAACCAGATTTCAGTTGAATATGTGGAAAAACTTCCTGACTGTTAGAGCAGTACAACAATGGGATCAATTGCCTCAGGAAGTGGCGAGTGCTCCAACACCGGAGGCATTCAAGAGAAGATTAGTGATTTATGAGATATATTTTGCTTTGGGTTCCTCCACTGAGCAGGGGGTTGAACTTGAGAGCATGAAAAGCCCCCTCCAACTTCATTAATTTTTTTTTTGTTAAAGCTGACACTGAAATAGTCCAAGAAAAAAAAACTTTTCCAAATTTTGATTTGAAATAGTATTCTGCTGCTACATGCATGATTGTTTTTCTTCTTTTTAGATGGCAACCACTATTCTAATCTTATATGTGTCAAAATTAAACAAACTTATTCACTTCCCTGATTTTGACAAAAGTATTCCAAAGAAGGTAAGAATAACTGCATGCGACGTGATTGCAAAAAGCAGGAAACATGATCCTGTGCTATGCTGTGCATTGTATAATGAAGTCTTTGGGGAAATATGGATGCACTGTTAGCTGCAGACCATTAGAGTTTTGTGTTAGGAGGGATGGGGTCACTTGAACACAGTTCCCCAAGGCCCCAGAGATCAAACTTGGATGCAGCTGTCCAGGCACTGGTAGTTTCTTCCTTCCTTCATTTCTTTTCTTCTTTTTTGAGGGGAGGGGGTCTCTAGCCATTTCCCAGCCTAGTACAACCTGTGACGGATGCTAGTTGAGCCTATTTGGTCCCTAAGCCTTGTCAGAGTTGACCAGCCCTTGTGTAAAGTTATATTTTGAGACCAGGATGATCTGTTATTGGATAAGCTTAGAACAAATGTAGACTTCAATCTTAGGTACTTTTAGCTGTGAATTAGCCCCACCAAACACACAGAAAGCAAGCACCTTCTTCATCTTAACTGCTGTATTTTTAGTTTTTTCAGGATCAAGATTGTGGCAAGTAGAAGCATTACACACTGTAGAGCTTTTATTACATTTTATGAGGTGTATTTTTATTGAAACAAGTAGAGCCAAAGTTTTCTTTAGAAAGGTGGGCAAAGTTCAGAAGTGGTAATCATTTATAAAGCTGGCTGCTCCGTTGTGTCTCCTGGTTGATTGAGCAAATACTGGATTAGAACTGTTGTATTAAGTTGGATGGATTTATTAATTTTCCATAGAAGGGCAAAACAAGCTTAAACTGAATAGTAACTTCGTTTTATTGCAGCTGTTTCCCCTTCCTCTGATTTATGTTGGAAATCACATAACTGGATTATCAAGCACAAGCAAGCTAAGGTACTAAAAAAAAAAGCTGAGGTATTGATAGCCGTTTGGGCCTTTCTGTTTCAGCCCCTTCCTAGTTTAGCTACCCATGAATTTGAACCGGAGCGACATAGCTATGCAAGGCATTGCTTTGAAGTTTGAGTTGGGTCCAGATTTAGATTTGCACAAGAGGGCTTGGTAGAAGTAGAGTGTATGCTGGTTGATGAGGCAGAAGTTACGCGTACCAGTGGTGGGCAGAGTCAGGATGACCGGCAGTCCTAAGAAGTGAGTGGTCACACACACACAAAGGAGGCAAGGCAAACAGATATTCATGCAGAAAGAGGCAGGCCAGTCCGTGTTGCCTCATCTCTACCCCATACCCAGACATTGCCTCACCCTTCACCACTACGTTCATTCACTTCAGTGGAGGAGCAGAAAAACACATCCTGCTCCCAAATTAGAAATGTACTAGCTGAGCCTGCTTCCCTTTTCTTCCTCCACAAACTGCTCCACAATGACACAAATTGGGAGTTCTACAGAAGAGGAGAAGAGACACAGCCCTGACATTCTGCCCCTAGAAGGGAGGCAGATGGGGGGGGGTTGTCTAAGGGTAGTGTGAGCCTGAGTCAGGGCAGTGCCCCATTTGCCTTAATGGTTCAGCCTCATCATCAGGATGATCAGCATAATCGTGCCATGTTTGCACAGAAGGGGACCTATGGCCAAGTAAGTGTGCATAGGATTTCAGCCTACATCAATGACTGTGGCCTAAATCCAACTGCTAATCCCAACATTACATGCAGAATAATGGCAGAAGAGATAGTTTGATACTTTCTCTATTAACAAAAGGTACTTATTCTTCCCAGGTGTAGCACTGAGCATGTCAATCAGTGTTATACACTGACATTTCCAGATTAATGACTGGGTGTGGCAGTGTCACTCCCAGTTGAATTTCTGTGGAGTTTGTAAATTGATTTTGCACAGTAGATTGGATCCAGAACTGGTCCTCTGCTGGATGTAGAATGGGGAGAAGATGAGGCATCCATGAATATCCGGCAGAGAACAAGCTATGGATCCAACCCACTCAGTTGGATCTAGGCCGCAGTCCTAGGCTGCAATCCTAAGCATGACTACTTGATAGTGGGTCCCACTGAAGACAGTGGGACCTGCTTCTGAGCAAACATGGCAGGATTGTGATGATCATCCTGATGATGATTAGGATCCACAGAACCTCTCCCAGTGGGTTCCTCTTATATTTAAGATTGTTTATTGCAACGTTCAGGTTTTCCTTTTTTAAAAAAAATTCTCACCCCAACTATTCTATGACTAATCACCCTTTGGTGTCAGACTGACATTTGGCGATGGGAATGACTGAGAATTTGGTCAGGCACATTCTTAATGCTAGCCTAAGCTGAGGATAAAATTACTAATGGAGATAAAGAGAATAGCTCACAACTAACATGAGCTGGAATCTCACTCCTCTCTCTCTGTCTCTGTCTGTCTTTTGAAACACAGTTTACCCATGTTTACAGTCCTTAGGAAGTTTACCATTCCTCTCACATTAGTACTGGAAGTTGTTATACTTGGGTGAGTACACGTCTTCCATATTTGAAATACCACTGTAGCCTATCAAGTGAATACTGTTCTTGTGTTATCTGGTCAGAATGTGTGGAAGAATGGTTCCCGTTAGTTAGTTTTGTGGCTCTTTATCAAAGGTCCCCAGATGGCCATTCCTGGAATCCTTGACTGTTGGCATGTCGGTTGGATATCTGGACACTGGAATCCACAAGAGCTTGAGGGCCACAAATTGAGGCCCACTCAACTCATAGATCTTGAGGAGTCTGTTTCTGCTTCTAGAAACTCTTGTGGGAGGAAAGAAAGAAATCAGTTTTGAAGCAGACATGAGTAGAACCTTACCAGAGAGTTGGCTACTTACATCACCTCAGTAGCTTGTATCCAATTATGTTATTACACTACAGCAAAGTCTGTTTCAGTAATGGCTAGTGACAGGCAAGCTGCACAGTCTTGGAGCACCCCCAGAGGTAGGGTCTGGTAAACGTAAGTACTGTCTATCTAGAAAACCCTAGAAAGGGATGCCTTAAGTCAGAATTGACTTGACAGGATTTATGTATGCTTCAGTAACAAATGTCTTGAAGGCATCAAAAATAAGTATTGGCTTTGGTGAATTTATAAGTAAAACAGAATTAGGTGCATGGGAAACAGTGTTACACCAGATCACACCATTAGTCCGTTAAGTTCAGTATTGACTACCTTGGATGGCAGCGAGTTTCTGGCCTTTCAGATAGAAGTTTTTCCCAACCCTACCTAGAGAAGGCAGTGACTGAACCTGAGGCCTTCTCTATGCCAGTCTGTGATCTACGTCTGAGCCATCACTCCTTCTGAAGGAATCTTTTGAGTTTCTTCAGAGGAAGTTTGCAGCCTCACTCACCTGCTGAAGTTGGCCAAGTGAAATAAATAAACCTGTTTGGCCTCATTCTGGTATATCTCCCAGTCCTCTTTTTGATACAGTGCCAGTTCTACCTGAGGGTTAATTTATTGGTTGTTCTCGTTCCTCAGTAAAGACATAGTGGGGGTAATGATGTCATTTTTCTTTGCAGGAAACGCTATCCATTAAGTATTATAATGAGTGTGTTTGCAATCATCCTGGGGGCATTCATAGCAGCTGGGTAAGATGTTAAAACTATCCTTTAAAGGTGCACCTTCATTTCTTGAGCACACCTAAAGAACAACATTGTTTTGTAGGAGACTGTGGACAAGAACCAGATAGAAAATGGGTATTGTTAATAAATAGCCTTATTCTGCAATTTTCTAGAAAATGATGGTCTGATTTTCACCACAAAATGCTCCATATTTTGTAATGAAGGAGAAAAGAACTCAGAACATTAATGCACATTTAGAGAATTTACACAAAGCGTTTGGATGTTTGTGCTTCAATTTGACTTTGAATTTGGGAAAGAGGCATTTGTCCCATCTTGTCATTTAAGGGAGGAAAGGGAATTGGGAGCAAGCTTAATGCTTGTTAACTTGTTTCACTGTTTATTTTACAAATTTATATACAGCTTAATAGAATAATTTTATAAAAGCTGTGTACCATCAGAACACCACGTCTAAAGGAGCGAAGAATGAAACTAATGGTATTTACACTGAGTGGAAACATTGTGTCCTTTTCTCCTCCATCACAATATCTAGGGCTAGATATTTGTTCATATCCTATATATTAAACAAAAACTGGGATTCTGTGGAAATTATTCAGTTCTCTCTCAGTTCTGGTATCTGTGCTTTGTGACACTGAGATTCTGGAACTCCAAGTAACCTGTTTAGATTGAATACTTTTAGGATTGTGTCTCACAACCCAGGGAATTTCTGTAGGTTAAGTGTGCCCCTGCATAAGTTTAATTTTAATTTTATTAATTAATTTAGTCAGTTAATTATGTGTCATCAAGTTGGAACTGACGTACAGTGACCCAGATAGGGCTTTCAGGGTAAGTAAGGTATTGAAGGAATGGTTTTACCAGTTCTACACATTCACCCTATGACTTTCCATGACTTGAGTAAGGATTCAGACTTTGGTCTCTTGTGTCCTAGTCTGTCATTCTGTCCACTACTGCACACTGATTAAGAAAGTGGATTTTTAGAATAAATAATGATATGCGCTAAAAGGTACATGCATAGTCTTTTCTTTCTAACGACAGAATCCCTTCCCCATATAAAACTTCCCTTAGTTTCAAAAAAGAGGCTGTTATTAGTGAATCAGAAATTGAGGCTTCCTTTAGGTGTTTTTGGTTGGCACGTTTTTTTCACCCAAGGTTCTGAAGAGTTGCAATCCATTTTAAAAAATAAAACTTAGCTGCAGTGGGATGAGGATTACCATGGACATACATTTGAGGTACAGTGGTGCCTCACTTAACGATTGCTTTGTTAAACAACGAAACCTCTATACGATGACTGTTTTGCGATTGCTTTTGCGATCGCAAAACAATGTTTTAATGGCAAAAATCCGCTTTGCGATGATGGGTTCCCGGCTTCAGGAACCGATGAATCGCATTACAACGATTTTAAAACAGCTGATCGGCGGCTTCAAAATGGCCACCCGCTGTGTAAAATCACTCCCCGCTGTGTTTTTGGAGAAATTCCTCACTATATAGGCACCAAAAATGGCCGCACCTATGGAGGATCTTCGCTGGACAATGGGTTTTCAGCCCATTGGAATGCATTGAACGGGTTATCAATGTGTTTCAATTGGATTTTTTATTTCGCTTAATGAGGATTTTGCTGTACAGCGATTTCGCTGGAATGGATTATCCTCGTTAAGCGAGGCACCACTGTACATATCATGCTCAGGAACTATCGGCCTCTGGGCCACATGAAGCCTGTTGAGCTCCCTGATACATCATCTGGAGCCCAAAGAGCTCACCCTTTCCCCACCAAAATATATTTTTTTCACCCTAAAAATTGGCAGCTGTGCTCCCAGAGGCCTCCAGAGGGTGCAGTTGTCCATTTAATGCTGCTGCTCCACTTCCCCTAACCTTTTTCGGACCAAAAAGAGCTTTTTACCCCAGGTTTCCTAAAAATATATGGTCCGTTAATTCCCAAGTATTGAGAATATGGCCTTCACAGTTCCCAACCCTGGAGATTAAAAAGAGCTATTTTTTTCCCTTAGGAAATCGTTTTTAGAGTGTCCAGTTGAGAAAAGAGATATGTTTATTTCATCATTTACTGACTTCTGCTTTTGGTGGGCATGTGAATTCCTGCCAAGAAAAAAACATTTTTTCCCTGTGCCACTGAAATGCATGATAATTAAATGGGACAGCAGACCAGTCTGAGATCTAAATTTATATTGGTAATTCCAGATAGATTGAATCCATTGAATCAGTGGGCATATATTAACTGTGGAGCTGGCTAAATAGCTCAGTGCATTGAGGTTGGAGCCAAAGCTCAGGGATTTAATTCCTTTCTGTGCCCCTCAGGAGAAGAGACAGCCTGTGTAGCCTTGGCCAAGCGGCATATTCCCAGAATATCAAATAATTTCTGAGCATTTCGTATCTAGAAAAGCCTGAGAAGGGTTGCTATTAGTGGGAATTAACTTGACAGTCCTCAGTTACTATTCTTATAGTGCTACTGTGGCCATAACAATCCCCATTCATTTAGTGGGACTGCTCTGACTGGGGACTAAGAGTTGGATGGAGCCCTTAGACTTCATGGAAGAGTCAAAACAACAGAAGCCCTACTCACGATCCACCAAGTCCTTCATTAGATTTTCTTGGGGACTTGCACTACTTATAATCTGTCGAAATGAACAGAGTTATCCCACTGTACTAAAATGGCCAATTCCTATCTGTATGTCCCTTGAGATTTAGTTTCATTTTAGTTGCTGGTCATAGAGCAAGTAAATCATTACTGAAGAAGTTGCCAGGAATGTAATCAGAGCAAGCTCTTGAGCAAAAGACATTATGAAGCAACTGCATGCCGTTTGTTTTCATTTTTTAGAGGCTTTACTGCAACCTTTTCTCTTAAGCTGACACTCTCTGGATATGCAGGAGAAAGATTTCTGTCACTCAGTATGCTGAACAGGGATAGTGGGAACTGTAGTCTACCATAAGTGGAAAGCACCAACGTGGGGATGGTGGCTTGACCGCTTTGAACACCTGAACTTGCCGGTTGTATCCACGTGTTTGCCATATGGAAGTGGTTTGGGGAGCTAATGGAATATATCACCATGTGGAGCATGATGCACCTCCTGTGTTGCTTTACATTCTTTTATCCTCCATGTTTTCTCTCCCAGATCTGACCTGGCTTTCAGCTTGGAAGGCTACACTTCTGTTTTGCTGAATGATCTCCTCACGGCGGCAAATGGTGTTTACACAAAACAAAAAATTGACCCTAAGGTAATGGTGTAGTGATTTCATTTGTTCTCCAGAGTTTTCACTTTCAGGCAAGGCATTCTTATCTTTGTTCTGTGGTTATGTAAATATATATATATTTACATAGCTTTATTCACAGCTAGAACTTATTTTCGAGCTTGTTTTTTTCTTTTAAATCAATTCAGCTACCATTCCTGCAAAGGGTTGGTTTTCTTGGTGGCAGAACTGAGCCCAAAACAGTAGGGTGCGGTTCATTTTATTTTATTTTATTTTGAAACAGAGTTGCAAAGTACCATTTCACCATAAAGCTTTTACTCATCATGTCATAAAGCTCTTGCTTGTAGCTTGAGAATTTCTTTTTGTCTATTTGTAATCTCTCAAATACTAGAAAATCTGCCTGCCCTAGTTCATCTAAGCCAGGGACAGGAACCATACAACTGCCTGCAAGGCCAATTTTTAGCCCATCCAAAGCATTCCAAGAAACTACTGCCAAACTTTGGAAGCCAGTTGCACTTCTACAATCCGGAAGGAAAAAAATAATGATGTAAATCAGCATTTGGCTCGTGTCAAGTGGCTGATAACGTTTGGCTTGTGGGTTTTGGTGGCAAAGCAACAATGTATTTAAAGCAAACAACATCCTGAGATCTTGTCGGGACAAAATTAGCCTTCAGATGTGCCAGAGTTACTCGTATTCAAAGCCATTTTCTGCTCTGATTTCTACTTTTAGCCTGTGCATTTATTTCTTTTGCTATAATCACTTGGACAAGAAAGCAATAAACAGCCTGTAATATCGCTGCTACTTATCCAGATGAAGCGCCACAATATTTTTGAATGATTCTCTAGGCAGTTGTTCCTGATTGTAAAGTCTGTTCCTTGTGTTGCCCGCAACAAACCTTTCACTGCTTGGAACTCCTTTCAGTTAATTACTTTGCACCCTGTATAATGTAGGATTACAAGTCCTCTATAATTATTACAGAACCTTCAGATATAACACATTTGATAACAAATTATGTATTCTCATTTAAATAGCTAATGGCTGTGCTGCCATTAGATATTCAAATAGCAATCTGTCATTAAATTATATTTAAATGATAAGTAACCAGTTTTTTAAAACAGATTTCTCTGTTTTATACAGGAGCTGGGAAAATATGGAGTCCTTTTTTATAATGCCTGTTTTATGATAATCCCTACAGTTCTCATAAGTTTCTTCACTGGAGACTTCCAGCAGGTAAACTTTATTGATGAATAATTCAAAATAGTATAATGTGTTTTTTTTAAAAAAACTTGGACAAAACTTAGAAAAGTTCTTCTAGACTACAACTTCCAGAGTTCCCCAGCCGTTATGGAAATTGACAACTTTTTCTAGACTAGTCTTGAAGCTTATATCTTTGTTGGTAGGAACTTTTCACTCCATTCATGGAGTAAAAGCTAAGGCACCAGGCCCACCTGGAAGATGATTAGGTTCATGTTTGTTCTGTGTGTTTGTTGGGTGGGTATGAGTGTGGAATTCCCAGGAGGAGAGTGTTGCATAGGTAAGGAACAGTCACCGGCCTTGTCTGTCTGATTTATCTCTATCATGGAGATTTGTTTCCCAGTCCTTACAGATCTGTGGGTAGGAACTGAATATGATCAGAACTGAAGCCTTATCTCAGTCATGTAAAACATGCTTTTATGCAGAAGTTAAACTAAAGCAAATACAGTGTGCCTCAATTTACAAAATTAATCTGGATTGGAACGGTGGCCGTAATTCAAAATTTTCGTTAAGTCGAAGCATCATTTCCCATTGAAATGCATAGGAACAGGATTAATCTGTTCCAGCATTTCAAAAAAATAATAATACCAAAATAAATAAATAAACAAATAAATTAAAGCACACAGAACGCCCCATCGGAAGGGGCTGGGGCTTTTTAAAAAAAAACAACCAAAAATAAACAGAGAAAGCCCCGAAGGCTGCAAAAAAAAGAAAGAAAGAAAGAAAAAGAAAAGAAAAATAAACATTGAGCAATCCCCACACTGGGACTGCAAAAAACAACACAGCACAGAAACATAACCCCCCTCAGCCGAAACCCACCCTGCAAAACCCACCCAGAAGTTTCTAAAAAGGAAAAAGCAGCACCTTACTAGGCAGACTAAAGCCTCCGATGGTACTCACTCCCTGGTGGGGAGCCGCCTCCTGTGCTTCCACCACACACCCCATTCACAGAGGACCCCCTCCAACCCCCGCGCCTCAGCTCAGCCCAGCACCTTTGGCTGCCCTTACTCATGAGTAGACCCGCGCCAGAGATGGGCAGGGAGTGCACCAGCTTCCTGTGCCCGGCAGACATCCGGAGCTGCCGCCGCCTCTCCTTCCTCCTCCTGCCTGGCAGGGGGAAAAAAGTTCCCTGATCCCCGTGCTCTAACCATTGGGTCAAAAGAGCTACAAAGAAGCAGCCTCTTCACCACCAACGGTTTGAATTTCCCGCCCTTTCCCCCTGCCTTTTTGTGTTCTTAGGTCGATGCTCCGCTCGCAAGTCGCAGCAAAATTTTGCGGCCGGAGCTGTTCGTAACTCGAAATTTTTGTAGGTAGGGGCGTTCGTAAGTTGAGGCCCCACTGTAGGTCCTATATGGATGCTGGCGAGTTGTTGTCAGTTAGCGTTGAAAGCACTGGCTTACATCAGGTAAAGGCCTGATTTATATAAGGCACTGGTTCCCAACCTTAGTTAACCCAGATGTTCCCAGAGGCCTTCACCAGGTGTGCTTTCCCAGGGTTTCTGGGAGCTGCAATTCAAGAACAGCTAGGTTACCCAAGTTTGGGAACTACTGATAGAAAGCAACGCTGTATGGGCTAAATACAACATTAGTTCTCCCAGAAGAGACTCGTTGAAATCAGTAGTAATTTAGTTAGCTATGACTATCAAATCCCATTCACATCATTAGTCTTACTCTAGGTGTTTCTTCCTTCTGAATAGAGATGGGCACAAACCATGGTTCAGCACGGTTCGGTGGATGAGGCCCACACGTGTTGCATAGGCACCCCAGATTCCCTGCCTCCTTCCAGGGGCACTCGCTCAGAGGAAGTGGTGGGGCAGGAAAGCCCAGGGTGCTGTCTCTGAGTGGGCACCTGTGAGAGCAGGCAGGGTGGGAAATCCAGGGTTCTGCATAACATCTGTGGGCCTGATCTACCGAAGCCCCAAATCATGGTTTGTGCCCATCTTTAATTCTGAAGGTATTTTTAGGATTAATCTGTCCTAAAAACAACATATATCTAGCCTTTCTACAGTGTTCCTTGTTGGAGGTCTTAGGGAGAAAATCCGAAGCTCCGTATGTATTACATGTGCTGTCCAATTCTGACGTTAAAAGTTGTGGCTGTTGTGATTTTTAAATACTAAATAGGTTCTCCAGTCTGTCCATTTTATCTTATATTTGATTATTAGAATATCTCCTCTCAATTAAATAGACCTAAAATATGTACTTTTTATTTTTCTAGGCCACCAACTTCAAGCAGTGGATAAACATTTTATTTGTTTCTCAATTCCTTCTTTCTTGCATACTGGGGTAAGGAGCATTGGATAAATAAGCACATAACAGTGGGTATTTTGGCATCTTAGGTGTCCATTCCTACCTAGAAGCTGCATGAAAGGGATAATAGCCAACACCCACAGCAACCACACAAGAAAAGAAACTCAATTTGTTTATTGCCCAACCCTTTTTTATAGCAGTTTCAGCACATTTTTGGAATTACTTTTACTGGAGAGGAGAGGTAACTTCCACAACCTTTC